GACTTTTGTTAAATTGTACTGTACTTTCTTAACTCTTGATGTTTTTCAAGGTATAAGCTCATCCCGATGTTACACTCATCAAGAGCTTTCATTTGAGTACCCACATGCATTTTTGATATATTTTTCATATATACATATATATAAATATATAAAATATATGAAAAATTGATGTGGGTATTCAAATGAAAGGTCTCGATGAGTGTAACATCAGGATGAGCTTATATCTTTAAAAATTTTAATAATTCACATCATAGAAGGTTATTTCTTAATTATTGACAATTTTAATGATATAAGCTCATCCTTGCGTTACACTCATTGAGACCTTTCATTTGAGTACCCATATGCATTTTTGATATATTTTTCATATATACATATATATAATATATATAAGTATATAAAATATATTGAAAATTGATGTGGGTATTCAAATGAAAGGTCTCGATGAGTGTAACATCGGGATGAGCTTATATCTATAAAAATTCAATAGTTCACAAGATTTTTCTTATTTTCTTAATATTATAGATTAAAAAAGTATTAAATTCGGATAAAATTTTAAGATAAATATTTTTAGTGTAGAAGTCAGAATGTGGTATATGTTTATGGAAGGAAAAGATCAGAGGGTGTAGGAAGCCGATGAGGTCATGCAGATTATATATATGTTCATGTGTATATATAAGTAAACTTATACTACTCTGGAAGTAATGAAAAGCTTTATATTAGTTGTATCCAATGCTGAATGCGGATGGAGAGAGTTTAGTTTTAGTTCATCTTTTGAAGTTGACGGAGCTTAATTATTTTACTTAAGGTATTTATTATTATTATTAAAAACTTATTTTTAGTAAAAACTCAATTTTTTTTTTCAATTGTTTAATTTTATTAAATTTTTTATTTCTTCTTTTAAAAGTATTTACTTATTATCATTATTGTATTTTAAATTTGATTTCTTCTTTATAATTTTCTTTTTACTTGCTTAATTTTAATAATTTTTTTATTTCTTATTAAAAAAAATTTTAACTTACATTTCTTCTTTGAAAAAAATTTTTTTATTTTTTTTCAATTTAATTAAAAATTTTTTTTTTCATTTCTTCTTAAAAAATTCCAACACTATTATCATTATTAAATTTCTTCTTTGAAATTTTTCTGATTAAAAAAAAAATGAATAATGCTTTTTAATATATAATTTTTATTTCTTCTTTTAAAAAATAATTTTTTTAATGACTTAAATTGAAGAATAATTAATAAAAAAATTTTCTCTTTTTATATTAATTAAAAAATTAATTTCTTCTTAAAAAATCTCTTTAAAAACAAATATGATATTGAAATTTAAAATCAAGGGTAAAAAAATAAATATTTAAAGTTCAATACTAATAATTTAAATAACTGGTAATGAAAAAGGTTCAATAGAGTGTAATGTAACATTTACATTGATCTCAATTCACTATTCATTAAAAAAAGCAAAACATATTTAAGTATTATTGCAAGTTGTAAAAAATTGTCACATCTATTTTTATCTGAACTAAACTTCCTGTATGATGATTGATATCTTCACACACAAAAATATTAATTAATTAAAATACAAATAATGATATTAGAATGCGTAAAGATTTAATGTGCAGACGCATCACAGCTGAGAGGAGTTTTGCTAACAGCATGTAACTACTTTTACTTAAAATATTGAGTCCAACGCTCCGCTTCAATCATGTGTATCAATATGTACATGCATGTGTATATTGATACTCCGCATGCGAGTGAACGAGGAAGCTGTGCTTCTGAAATCTTACGCCGGTACTTTTTTAATATAAAAGAGTGCGTAGGATGATTAGTGTTACTACGCGTACTTGTTCCACACGTTTATTTCCTCTTGCTAGTTTATTTCAATTATTTTAAATCTTAAAATAAAATAAGTGATTATTTTTATTACTCATTTTTTAAAAGAAAAAATGATTTTTTTTATTAATTAAAATTTCATTTCTTTAAAAATTTATTTCATTTTCTTCAATTTTATAATTTTTTTTTATTGTTAGAAATTTTTAATTTTATTATTAAAACTTTTTTTATAACTAAAATTTTATTTCTTCTTTGAATTTTATTTTAGTTTTCTTCAATTTAATTTTTTTTTATTAAAAATTTTAATTTCTTCTTGAAAAATTCAAATTTTTAATTATTTTTATTTGATTTTTTATTTAAGTTTAATCTCTTAAAATTTTCAAAAAAATTCTTTTTTTTCTCCTTAAAAAATTATTATTATTAAAATTTTAATCTAAACTTTATTTCTTAAAAAAATTTCATTTTTTTTTTTTTTTTCAATCTAATAAATGTTTGTTTTTTAATAAAAATTAATTATTTCTTCTTATTAAATTAAATTTATTATTATTATTTTTAATTAAAACTTCATTTCTTCTTTGAAATTTTTTTAACTTTCTTCAATATAATTAATATAATATTTTTTTTTAATTAATAATTTGTATTTCTTCTTGAAAAATTCAAATTTTTAATTATTTTTATTTGATTTTTTATTTAAGTTTAATCTCTTAAAATTTTCAAAAAAATTCTTTTTTTTCTCCTTAAAAAATTATTATTATTTTTTTTTTTTTTTTATTAATAATTTGTATTTCTTCCAGAAAAATTAAAATTTTTCATTATTATTATTATTTGATTTTTTATTTAAATTTTATCTCTTCGAATTTCTTTTTTTTCTTCTTAAAAAATTAAAATTATTATTATGATTATTAAAAATTCAATTAAAACTTAATTTCTTCTTTTAATTTTTGTTATTTTCATTAATTTAATAATTGTCTAATATTTATTTTGTAAAAAAATTTTTTTCTCATTTCTTCTTTAAAAAATTAATCCAAAAATTATTATTATTATTTAAATTTAATATTGACAGACTAATATCTTTTTAATAATAAAATTGATTTACTTATAGGCATAAATTAATAATACAATAATGCAGTCAAGGCTGCGGTTATTGGCTCTTGCCCTTATTCTGGGTCTTGTCATCACCAATGTATCCTCAGCGGAAGTAAGTTTAATTTATTATTATAAATTAATTTATCAATAAGCTCACACTATTTTTTACTTTAATTTGTAATTTCTTCTTTATAATACTTACTATTTATAATAATTTAATAATAATAATAATATTATTAATAACAATTATTGAAAATAATTATTGTAGAGAAGAAGAAAACATAGACGCCGTACAACAACAGAAGCTCCTTTCCAGCCAGAAGTAATGAACCTTCTTAAAGAAGAAGACACTTCTAAGGAAAAGTTGGTCGCCAAGATGGACGACCAGGACTCAAACTCCGAAAGCGGGGAACATGACAATAGTAATGAACCCAAAGATGGCGTATTGAGAATGGATCCTTGTTTGGATAAACATTGCGGCGCTGGACGAGTTTGTCGGGTAAATTTATTTCTAAATAGTGTTTTTGTCAATATTCAAAGAAGAAATCTACCTATCCATACCGGGTGTGGCCGAATAGCGCTTTTTAATTTGTTATTTTGTATCATTTGTCATTCGGTGATTGCTTTAGTATTTAAATTAAATAAATTATTTTAGGTTAATGATCTTGGAGCTGCAGAGTGTGTTTGCATAGAAGTTTGCGATGAAGAAAAAGATCCCCGGCGTAAAGTTTGTACCAATTACAACGAAACATTTGGAAGCGACTGTGAAGTTTACCAAGCACGTTGTTTCTGTGACTCTGGTGATTCTCGTTGTCGTGGTCCAGATTATCAGCACGTCCATATTGAATACTACGGCGAGTGCCGTCAAATGCCGGTAAGTAACCTTAAAAAACATTATTTTACGTCGTAAATTTAATATAATTTATTAATTTATAACCTTACCTTGAAGATGTGCAAAGAAGAAGACATGATGGACTTCCCCCGAAGAATGCGCGACTGGCTCTTCAACATAATGCGCGACATGGCGGATCGTCAAGAGTTGCCAACTCACTTTTTGAAAATGCAGCGGGAAGCTGAAACAAACTTAACCTTACGCTGGACCAATGCCGCCATTTGGAAGTGGTGTGATCTTGACGGGCATCCTCATGATCGTGCCGTTTCACGGCACGAACTCTTCCCGATTAGAGCGCCTCTCATGGCACTGGAACATTGTATCGCTCCCTTTTTGGACGGGTGTGATGAGAACAATGATCATAAGATCAATTTGGTTGAGTGGGGAAAGTGTCTTCAGCTTGATGAGGTTATTTTTTGTCAATTTATTATATTATTTAATTTATCAATCAAATATTAATGATTTTTTATTATTCTTTCAGGACGACTTAGATGACAAGTGTGACGAGCTTGAAGAAGCTGGACATTAAATATATTTCTTAATTTTTACCGTTTTTTTTTAATATATAATATTATTAATTATTTTATTACTAATTAAAGCTTAAAAATATTGTATTATGCGTTTGTAATTGTAATCTTCGATTGTAATACTTGTAAGCAATAAAAAATTGATAATTAACAATAAAAAAAATTCTTCTTTACAATTCATCCTTTAATATTAATTTTCCTTCTCAAAAATTAATATCAAGTACAATTAAAAAATTCTCTAATTATTTTTATAATTACTTTAATATTTCTTCACCTCTATTTACTAAAATTTAATTAATTACAATTGTAACATAATAAAAAAAAAATAAATAAATAGTTTATCAAAAAAAATATTTCAAACATTTCTTCTTTATATTCAATTTTTTTTTGAATTAATATATTAATTATATATCATTTACCATTAAAAAATTCTATAATTATCTTCACATTTAATGAAATATTTTTTTTTAACTTACATTAATTAAAGTTTAATTAACTACAATTGTAACTTAATAAATAAAAAATGAATAATTTACCAAAAAAAAAAATCTTTCAAACATTTTATTCTTTTCTTCTCAATAATTAATACCGTATGCAATTAAAAAATTCTATAATTATCTTGACATTAAATTAAATACTTTTTTTAACTTTCATTAATGTAAGTTTAATTAATTAAAATTGTATTAGTTCTTCTTTATATTTCATATTTTTCTTTTCAAAAATTAAAATTATTTACAATTAAAAAATTCTATAATTATCTTCACATTAAATTGAACATTTTTTAAATTGCATTAATATAATTTTAATTAATTACAATTGTAACATAATAAATAAAAAATAAATAATTTATCAAAAAAAAACTTTTAAACATTTCTTCTTTTTATTCAATGTTTTTTATAGTAAAAAAATATTTATTATAAATAACAATATTATATAAGATAATTAATCTTTACAATTAATTAAAAATGTCTTCACCTTTATTAACAAAAATAACCACAAAATTTAAATAAAAATTCTCTTAATTTAAAATTTTTCAAATTCAAATTTTCCCCGCCAAATATCTCCCCTCCAATTGGCCGAAATCCCGCCTTCCCATTCGCCAAAATTCCCAACCAATAAAAACCTCTGAATCTTTTCCCAAAAATCCTCACCCAGAAGCCCGAATTATCTACTAGAATCCGTCGCTCTGATTGGCCAGGAGTCACCTGACCATAAGTCGCGGGATGCGACAGCAGCGCCAAGCGTATTTGGCGGGATCGTGGTTCACAACGGCGTCTGTTATATTCTGCGTCGGTCTGTCGTAGTAGTTTGTCGTGCTGTGTAATTTAATCGTATCTCTCATCGCAATGGTGAGTCCACGAGTTATTAAAATATATATTCAATAATTAATTTTATTACCAATTATTTCTTCTTTAATCCACCTTTTTCTTCCGGCTTAAGATTCAAAAAAATCCAACCAACAAAATAGAAAAAAAAAATACTAAATTATCCTTAAATAATTAACAAAAAAAATTTAAAGGTTATTTTTTAATTTCAGGCTGGCGGAAAAACAGGCAAAGATTCCGGCAAGGCGAAGGCTAAAGCAGTCTCACGTTCAGCAAGAGCAGGCTTACAGGTTAGTTAATTAATTAATTATTAAATAAATAAATTTTTTTTTTTAAATAAAAAATTAATCACATTTTTTTTTGTAATTTTTTTAGACTTTAAAATTGGCGCCAAAAAATTTTTTTTAAATTAATTTTAATTTTTTTTTTTTTAAATTATCCGGCTTAATTTTTTTTTCACATTTTTAAAGAATTAACCGCCGTTTTTGTTGTTTAATGACGCCATTTGTTTTATAAAAATTTTTAACCTAAAAAATTTATTAAAATTTTCAAAATTAATTATTAAAATTTACGCATTAAAAATAATTAATTTATTTAGTAAGAATTTATTAAATTTCATAAGAAAAAAAATTTTTTTTATCCTAATCGCCATTTAAAATAATTTTTTTTTTTTTTTTTAACAACAAATAACAATAATAATAATTTTATTAAGTTTAGATAAAAACGTTTAGTGTACGTATTTAATTAAACAAAGCGTATGATCGGTCAATATAATACACCTACATACATCTACACGCATGATGTATTGTAAGAAAAAATAGCTGACGCTCAGCCGGATGTTTTTGCCACGGGCGCCATTTTGTCCACGTTATAAAAACATTAGTCAGATTTTTTTGTAAAAAATTGATTTTTAAGACTTCTTTTTGGATTTTTAAGAGGAAATTTTTTTCATTAAGTTTTAATTAATGGTTTCATGTTTCAGTTCCCTGTTGGAAGAATCCACAGGCATTTAAAGAACCGGACAACTAGCCATGGACGTGTCGGTGCTACCGCTGCTGTTTACAGCGCAGCCATTTTGGAATATTTGACTGCTGAGGTACTTTTTATGTGATTTTTCGGTGTTTATGTGCTTTTTATGTGCAATTATGGTTTATTTTAAGGGTTTTACTTTGAGAGTGAGATAAATTTTTAAGGAGATATGACGCCGCAGGGGTGCCAAAGTTAAAGTTTGAAAATGGCGACTTTTCGCGCGCTTTTTTAAATGTTTGTTTTTAAAGTTTTAGTTTTTTATTTAATATTTGAGCGGACAAGTAGAAAAAGTTATTTTTTTTTTTATTATTGAAAATTTACGTAGAATTATTTTTTTAAAATTAATATTTATGAATATAAGAAAAAAAATTTCATTTTAAAGTTTTTTTTTTCATTTAACAAATTTTCGCGGTTTTATAATTTTTAAATATTTCTGGCGCATTTAAACCATTATTTCAAAAAACAAATTGGCGCGAAAATAATTATTTTAAAAATAATTTTGTGTTCTATAAGATCCAAGTCTTGAATTGAATTTGTGACTTTCCAAGGTTTCATATTATTCTCAACGATAGTCAATATATTATGATAAGTATTTAGGGTGAATTTAAAAATTTATCTCTATACCTAAAATTAAGAAATGACCTTGTATTTTGTGATCTATTGACATTTTTAAAGATATAAGCTCACCCCGATGTTACACTCATCGAGACCTTTCATTTGAGTACTCACATCAATTTTTCATATATTTTATATATTTATATATATTATATATATGTATATATGAAAAATATATAAAAAATGCATGTGGGTACTCAAACGGAAGCTCATGATGAGTGTAACTTCGGGATGAGCTTGTATCTTTAAAATATATATTATATATACCACATAATTAGAAAATCACTTTGTATCTTGTGATCTATTGACATTTTTAAAGATATAAGCTCACCCCGATGTTACACTCATCGAGACCTTTCATTTGAGTACCCACATCAATTTTTCATATATTTTATATATTTATATATATTATATATATGTATATATGAAAAATATATCAAAATTGCATGTGGGTACTTAAATAAAAGCTCTTGATAAGTGTAACATCAAAATGAGCTAATATCTTTAAAAACGTCAATATTTAAGAGAGTACAGTGCAATTTAACAAAAGTCATTATTTAATAAAGCAATTTTTTTTTTATAGTTCATAAAATTGCTAGTTATTATTGTTAGTATTGCTAGAATTAAAATTTTTTAATGAATTTATTCATGTTTTTATCCTGCTCCTTGTTTGATTTCTAAAATATAATGTGCACTCTGTACATTTGTATTTGCGTTTGGCCTTTTTAATAAAATCATATTACATTAAATTGTTTCAATTACTAAATAATAAATAAATTTTTTAACAATTTTTCTAGGTTTTGGAGTTGGCGGGTAACGCGTCTAAAGATTTAAAAGTAAAACGTATTACACCTAGGCATTTACAACTTGCAATTCGTGGAGATGAAGAATTGGACAGTCTTATTAAAGCTACCATTGCCGGAGGAGGTAAATATTTTTTTTCTCAAAATTTTTTTCTTAAAATTTTTTTATTTCATTTTTTAAAAATTTTTGTTTCTTTAAAATTCGCATTAATAATTTTAATTAAGATAATCATCAAAATTTATTACTCTTAAAATTATTATTTCAAATAATTTTTGTAACTATATTAAGTATCAATATTTTGATTTAAAAAATTTCTAATTTCATTTTTTTAATTTTCTTTTTTTCATAATTATTAAAAAAATTTTTTCTTGATATTAAAATTAGAAATTAAAATTTTTAAATATTATTTAAATAGTTTAAATAATTTATATAAAAAAATGAATATAAATATTTTAATAAGTATTAAAAAAAATTTTTTTAAATTATACAAATAATTTTTATTCTAAATTTTCTCTAACTCTAAATTAAAATTAAAAAAAATTTTTTTTTTTTAATTTATCCTAAAAAATTTTCAAAATAAAATTACTAATTATTATTATTTATTTTTCAGGTGTTATCCCACATATCCACAAATCACTTATCGGCAAAAAAGGTTCACAAAAGCCAGCATAATTTAATACCTAATCTTAACTCTAATAATAATAATAATAATTAATAATAATAAAATAAATAACAATAAGTGTTTATCCTACGTTTATTATTTTAATTCTTATTACTAAATAATAAATTTTCTCTTAAATCTCTTTCTCTAAAATTCCATTTTTTTATATATATTTTTTTACCAATCACTTTCATTTACAATTAAATAACTTAACAGTAATTTTTAATAAAAAAATAATTTAATATTAATTGACAAGGACTATTTAGACCAGGAAAAAATATTTATAATAATTACTGAGAAAGAGATAAATAATAATAATGATTGTTGATAGTGTAACTGCGTTAATCTGAAATAAAAGAAAATTAAATTTTAATCCGAGTGAAAAATTCAATAAATAAAATTATGAATCAGTGAAGGCGTGATATAAATAAATAAATATATATTGATTTATTAATAAATAAATAAAATAATTATATTTTTTTTACGGAGGTTTTATCAATAAAAAAAAAAATAATTTTATTAATTTAAATTAATTAAATAAATTTTGATTAAGTTGAAGAAGATGATAGGACAAATAAAAAAAAACCTCCTGTGGCTTAATTAGATTTTATTACATTACGTTGTTATGAGTATTGACAATTGATTGATTATTTATTAATTGATTGGTTGTTTTATTAATAAAACTGTAGGTTAATATTGAATATTAAATAATAACTATTATTATTAAATGGTATATAAAGTTAATAGCCTCACTTGTGTGTCTCAAGACTTTGTCACCTTTTTTTTATTTAATTTGTAATATTATGATTGATAATATACTGAAGTAATTATTATAGTGATTAAACACTTTTAGTACACTTACACGCCCTTGTCATACATGTACACACTCATTTTCATAGTATAAAAAATGCAAATAATAAATTTTACAATAAATTATTTTTATTTGATTTTTTATTTCTTCATTGGTAATTTTGTTATTTTTTTTAATTAAATTTTAAATGGATTCGTCTTAGGGTGAGTTGAGATTTTTTTAATATTTAATTTAATTAATTGTAATTTAGATTTCTTTACTTAATTATTGACATAATTTTTAGTATTTAAGAAGTTCTTTTTTTTTATAAAAAAAAAATAATTAGAACATTTTGAGGAAGAAATAAAATTTTAATTCCAAATTTGTTTTAAAAAAAAAAAGAAAATTAATAAATAATTAATTTTTTATTAGAAATAATCCAGATAGTAATTATAAGAAATTGCACTGTACTTTCTTAAATCTTGATGTTTTTAAAGATATAAGCTCATCCAGATGCTAGAAGTATCAAGAGCTTTCATTTGAGCACCCACATGCATTTTTGATATATTTTTCATATATAATATATATAAATATATAAAATAGATGAAAAATTGATGTTGGTACTCAAATGAAAGGTCTCGATGCGTGTAACATCGGGATGAGCTTATATCTTTAAAAATGTCATATCAATAGTTCACGAGATACAAGGTCAAGGCCTAACTATCATAATAAATTGACTATCGGTAAGAATAATATAAAATATTGAAAAGGCACAAATTCAAATCAAGACCTTTGCAATGACACTAAATTTTGCTAATTAAAACCGATTTTATTATGTGACTATCCCGGACATAAAATTTTTCTTATTCTCTTAATAATATAGATAATAAAGAAGAAATTTTATTAGTATCCAAAATTTATTTATTTTTTACAAAATTCTAAAAAAATAGTAAGTATTTCTTCTTGTATTAAATTATAATTATTAATAATAATAATAATAATAATAATAATACAAATTTTAAAAGATCCTGAAATAAACATTATTATTATTATTATTATTATTTCTTCATTATTAAAAATTTGAAATTATTTCATTGATAATAATAATAAATAACAATAACAATAATAATAAGAAAATTTTAAATGATCCTGACATATACTTATTATTATTGAAAATGAAGTTAGCTGACATTTCAAAATTTTTAGAAATTTTCTATCAAAAAAATATCAATTAAACAATTAAAAAAAAAAATATCACATGTAAAAAACTTGAAAAACTGTAAGTGCAATTTTTTATAAATTTTTTTTTAGTTGTAATTTAATTAAAAAAAAAAAA